ATTAACTGGAAAGATTTTCTGAGGACCTGAATCAGTTGAAGATTGTGTGATTTATCCTACCAGGGTAGTCTTTTTGACTGAGGAGACATTAAAATAATTTTCTTGGGGGGGAAACTGCAAAAATGACTTGCTTCTCTTTAAGCATTTGGAAATAATTGTGCGGGCTAATGTCAAGGATATTCTTTCCTATTAAAAAAGAAGAGAAAAAAGAAAAAGCCACAAGTTACTTGGTTTGAGAGGCATGGCAAAGAGGTGGAGTTCTGTCCATACTTCTGCACAAGCAGTTCTGGAATTGCAGTCATCCAGTCTACCTGATTTGCCATTTCCTTTTAAAAAGAATGTTTTCAGTTCATCACCTATTCTTGTTACTTATTTCCCTCCTGTTAACTTAGCAGATTTAGTAGGATATGATAATCAGTAGCTAATGACGATTTCAGCATAATGTGCATCTCAGCTGTTGATAATTGATCTATGTTTGCTTCTGCTTTGCTTTGCTTTTAGGTCTTCAACCAAATCAAACAATCAAAATCTTCAACAAAAGTGCCAGTCAGCTTACAGGAGATAAACCTGGTGCCAGCACCTACTTATCTTTCTCCAGAGGCAGAAGTCACCAGCCGTAGTATGAAAAATTATTTCTTTCAGCACCGTAGTGTGTATATAGTACCCTAACGCAGGGTGGATGTTTTTCTCTTTTAGCACCCAGTGGCCTTATCACAAGGAAAGGCCAGGCCAGTGCATTAGTGGGTTGATCGTTCCCTTCTGTATTGCCAGAGTGATGCCGTTAGTAAAATGTGAACTGTTCTGAGGAAAATAGGTGTCGCAACCATCTAGTCCTGCCTTTTGTCTTTGAGTAGTTCCTCGCATATTCCAATATAAAAATACGGTGATATTGTATACCTGAGATGACTTCCTCTTTCACGTCTAAACAGCGGCTTGACTTTCTCCAGTGCTAGGCGTACTGTGATGTGGAACACTGTCAGTTCCACTGAGCTGCAGTATTGTCTCATCTACCCCAGTGCAATATGTTTTGACATTGTGGTCTGAGCCATATAGGTCATACCTGAAGTCAGTATCCTAGACACTTAGTAACTCTGTAATGAGTGAGTCAGAATAGTCTTCTATTTAGATTTAGATTTATAAAGGTGAAGAACAAAGTACGAGAATTTAATTAGTTGCTCTCAGATAATTTCATTAGCCATTTTTGTTTTCTCACTTAATAGTGGGAGTCACTTCTTTATCTTTTCATGTTCTTAGGCATCTTTCCACCTCCATTGCCTGTGGATCCAGCGACCTGTCCTATTGTTCCAGGGCAGGAGATGACTATAGAGATATCTAAGGGTCGATCGGGCCTCGGTCTCAGCATCGTTGGAGGGAAGGACACTCCACTGGTGAGCTTCTGTTAAACTAACGTTTATTGTCTGTGTTAAAGAATGAGAGAAGAAAGGCAGAGAAAATATAGAAACTGATGATGCCATTCATCTGTTGCTGCTCTAATGAGTTGTTCAGTACAGGGAGGAGCAACCGGCAGCCACAATCTCCAATACTGATTGATAGTTTTGCCTTGTATCAGATCAATTGTTTTCTACTCCCATTGAAATTGAAATGCTTGTGTTTCAGTGGTGTCTTCTGCTGTAGTCATAATTTACAAGTATGTATTCTTTTTTTTTTAACACATATGAATTCAGAGTTTCAGGCAAGTAAGTTACCAGAAGGTTTGAAGTACCAATGAATGTCAGACAGGTAGAGCTACTTCAACAAGGTTAACATCTATGCCTTGAGAATATAAATGCTTATACTGTGATATATGCTAAACTGTGATATATGTCCCTACCAGTAAAAGCCCTCGCTGAACAGAGGTAAAGGTACTCTTTTATTCTTTCCTGTGTCCTTTTGTCTAATACACTTTTGGTTATGCTGTTTTAAAAAAAATTATCTTCAGCTATATTAAAAAGTATCAGTTTAAGTGTAAACTCAGCAAGTTGGTTACCTAAACCTTTCATTTCTGCCTCTCTGCTGTTGCTGTTTCTACTCCGCTATTTGTTTAAGAGATGCTGTATTACAGGATGTCAGCTTTTTTATTTTAAAAGTCAGATTCAGTTCCTTCAGTAAACACGTCTATTGCAGAGGTGTCCTTATTGGGTTTTCCTAAATCCCCTGCCCCAAAGAGACTTAAGATAGTAGAGTTACTCTGTAATTTCCTTACATGCAGTTGTTCCTGAAAATATCACAGTAGTTCATCATTAAGCAGTTTAAGCAGTGAAGTGTTGTCAGTGTAAGCAGCTATAGACTTGAAGTTGAAAGGAAGTATCTAGTCCCTTTTTTTTAATCAAGATCTTCAGAGTTGAGTAAATTCCAGTAAGAAGTTCTGCATTAGTCATCCCTCTGCTTTTTCATTTAACTGGAATTTGAAAATAGTACATGGCAGTCTGTTGGAAGCAATCTGGTTCATGTCTTTCATGAGCTTTTCATATAAATAAATGAAAGTATCTGCTTTATAGAGCAGATGAGGAAAATACAAAAGATTTCATTCTTTAACTTGAATAAATGGTATTGATTAGGTATTGTGCTTTCCGTTAGTTCATTCTTTCAAGAGTCTTCCTATGAATTTATTAAAAAAAATATGTCCGCACTTGCAGTTACTGCAGTTACTGTGGAGTTCATAAAGGGAGGGAGGCACAATTTCCGACATTTGTCATCGTTACATTGCAGGACCTACCAAAACAAGTCATTGTTTGTTTTCTTATTTCTCAATTTGCTCATTCAAAGGCAAGCAATATTATTTCAAAGGAAACAAGTTACATTGGTGAGACCGCAGTCTAATCTGTGCATAGACCCTCTCTGGGATTCTCCATAACTTGCTTATCCAAGTTACTGTGGGAGCAAACTGTTTTCCTTAAAACAGGTAGCCAGGGCTATGTCTTCAGCTGGTGTGATCAACGCAGTGCTGTTGATTTCACTACTTTGTACTAATGATCTGCCCCCAATTATTTTGATTCCTTCTTTTTTTGCCATGAAGGCAAAAATTTAACAATTTGTTGGTAAAGAGTTGAAATACACTTTGCATAAGGGAATGAGGAGTGGTGAAAGAAAATGCTGCTCAGGATCGTAAGAAACTTTCTCTCTCTGGGTTTCCTGGATGAGAGAGGAAATACAAAAAAAACAGCTACATGTAGCTGAATGATATATCTCTTCCTCGCCATCATTTGGTTCTAACTCTGTGAAACAGATGGACATCTTTCCTATTTTAAAAAAGGCAAAAAAAATTGATTTATGGCTTCACTGCTTATATATACGTTATACTCATGTGCTGTAGAAGTTCATCATTTCTACAGGTCTAGTCATGTGGCAGAAAATTGTGTATCCAAGACCCACTGCTGTCTACAGTGCGGGAAAATTAATAAAAGTTGTGACTGGCTTCAGCAGCTTAAGCTCATTCGTTAGCTGTTTTTGAAATAGGGGAATTTTTGGATCAAAGTGAGAGAGAATGAGAGTAGCACTATTCAGAGCCTATATTTGCAGGTGTGAGTTGGGGATTTGCTCTCTTTCGCGTTCTCGGCGCTCAGCTAGTGCACGCAGGGCTGGGCTGCCCTGGCTGTGCCACGGAGATGCGCCCTGAGGGACAGGCCTGGCAGGATAGGAGCGACTCTTCGCGACTGGCGCCTCCATGGGCGTCACTGCTGCGGAAACTTTCTTTTCTGGGCTTTTACCTTTTTACCGAATGTATCAGTACTGGGGATTGAGGGAGGCTGTTCCTCACTGGGGTTTGACAAATGGAGCCTAAGGCGGCTATGGCAAGAGCATGAAGGCCTCCTCCATGCAGTCTGAAAACGCTCTTGCCATAAAAATGGTTAACAAATTCCTGGCAATTAATGCTGCTACACAACAGCAACCTGCGTGGAGTAAGAACATTCATTCCAGAGTTGTTCAGGATCTTTTTAAACACCTGATGTGCAGTCCCAGCTTTTGGAAAAATAAATCTGGCAGCCTGCTAAGGAGAAGCACCACTTAAAAATGAAATACTGTGTACAGCTTTTAAGTCATAACCTTAGGAATCTCATCAGGAGTCACCAAGTATGGACTTGAAAAATATACCCTGTGTGCAGGGAGGCTGATTTTTTCAGGAGGTTGGAAAGCGATGTCTTAACCCCTGTTAGATGTTTGCCATTGAGAAGACCATCCCATTAAACTTAAACAAACAAACAAACAAACAAAACCCTGTTGAGTTGGATGTATTATAAGCCTGGATTGTGGCTGCATACTTCAGGGGAGTAGGAGAGCATCAGCTGGAGAGATGAGGTTGTAGAAAAGGCATGGGAAAGAAGGATTTGTCCTTGAAAGCTATCTTCGCATTGTTGCTCTTTGGACTGCTGTAGCTGTTAATCAGTGCTATTCTAAGAGTTGATTTTTCATTTTTCTTCTTCCTCCACTGTCTTTCATTTCACCTTCTCCTGTACCCCTGACAGAACACAACACATGGCCTCTCCTTTAAAGCAATTAAACTGCAGAGTGGAGCTGGCTGAAGTACAGGCCTTTCAATTTGTGAGGGTGTTTTTTTTTTTTTGGTTGTAGTCCAATCAAACTTGTAAAAGTAACTCTTGGGGAATTAAAAAAAAAAAAAAAAAAGTGTTTTCAGAAACATCCCGAAGTGAGGCTTTGGGCTCTAACTGTGCTCCCCGGGATGCTGTCTGGCCCTCTTGTCCCCCCCTGTTGCTGAATGATATATACTCACTTGTCAGCTCCAGCGCGGCTAAGAGCAGCTATAAAGCTGACAGGGATGTCATTGTCACCCTGCAGCTGCCGGCTGCGCCGGGGCTGGCGGGGGCAATGCCTGCAGTGCCAGGCTCTATAATCCCCAGCAAGCTGCTCGAGACTTATGTGCTTGGCCTCCCAGCTCCGAGCCAGGACAACCTGAGACTGTTAGTTAGATGTAAAGTCCCCAGAGCTTCTAGCCTTTGGCGCTGGTGGCAGCAAGCCAAGGTTGGCATGGCCGGTTGGCCCAAAGCTGCAGAGTCTGGGACCGGGTGGGTCCAAGACCGAGTAACCAGTCCCACAGGATACCAGAGCAGCAGCCCCAGGGATTCCGGTGGTTCACCATAAATATAGGAAACATTCCTTAGTTATTCTGCTTTTGATTCACCATATTCTGCACAAGTTGTTTCAAGCAAAATAATTTAGGTTCAAGTAAAGGACTTTTTCCTCTGAAATTCTTTTCACCAAAAGCTTTCTGTGAGGTTTGCTGTTGAAATGGTCTGGAAATACGGCATCAAGGAATAGCTTAAAAAGCCTGCCATGGTATTCCTCCAAATGGCATTGTGCGGTTCTCTCATCCTGACCCTGTTATCTTTCCCAAGTGAGTGAATGCCACTACGTGTTGTCCAGTTAGCAACTTGCAGCGAGCCTTTTTGTATAAAACAAGATCATCCATTTACAGGGATTTTATTATTGGCAATATGTGAAAAAGCATCACTCCAAGATACAAACATTTTGTTAGTAGGGGGGAGCACTGTTTTGCTTCTGACTGAATAACTGATTTAGTAACGGTTGAGTTTATTGCTTGTAGTTATTGACACTCTATTTGCTGCCTGGAAGATTAAGACACTCAGACGTGCTGGAGGGTATTTAGCATTTTGACTGCTAGTGGAGACTTGTATGTGGATGTGCCTTCCCCTGAGGTAGGAGACCTTGGGAGGGGAGGAGAGCATGAAGACAGAGTTTGGATCACACTTACGTACTGCAGAGGCACCAACAATATAAAACAAAGGAAGGCTGTAGGACCAATAACCTAAGGGCAGTTTGGAAGTAGAGTAGCTAGGAAAGCTGTCGAGAATATAATCTGAAACTTAAAGAAAGAAAAAAAGCGAAGCATTCCTTATCCTGTATCTTTTTTTATTAAAAATAGCAGCAACAAATTTTTTAGACAGGATTTTTATATTGGGTTGTCTATTCTAAATTGGTTTTCTTTTTTTTCACTTTTGCTTTCAGCTGGCTTTAATAAAGGGCCTTTTTAAGGTAATTAACAAACTTCAAGGGACTCCATCCATAAAACGTAGACATTCACAAATCCGGGGAACTGAAACACCTTAGCAATGCTCCAAAAAGTAACTGAATATGCCTCCACTCAACTAACACTCATTGGTGTGAGAGCTGGTAACACAGGAGTCGTAAAGGAAAAAGGGTTGCTAATGACCTCTTCTAGCCCCGAAGGCTCTCCAGCTCGCAGCGGAGAAGGGGGAGTTTCGGGATGGAGTTGGACAGAAGGATATTTAGAGTTATTTTCCTAGTCCAGGTGAGTCAGACCTTGCACACACCCCAGCTGTTAAGGCAGGTCAAGGGAATGATCGAGAAAGCAGTGACATTAAATTGCAGCTGCTGAGGCCCCTGTGTTTGC